GCCACAGTTGGGTGCTTGCAGTTGCATTTAAACAGAATGACTTTTCAGATCCAGGAAACTGGGAATTCAGAAAGCCTGAACTGCTTGGTGAAAAAAATGGTAAAATAAAGTAAAAAAATTGGGAATGAAATTCTAGACTGTATTCAGCTTATGAAGGGCTTGGAAAGCAATCAGTCCAGGGACCCCAAAGATGAAGCCTGGACCACTATACAGAAAGTGTGGGAGAGAACAAGGTTTTCTTCTGGAGACCAGGTAGCAGCCAATCACAATGGCCCCAGGGATGGACAAGGAATGGTGGGTACTGGAATCAAAGTAGAGGAGGCAAATACAAAGACACTGCCAAAAGAAAATCAAGGTGGCTTGGCAATGACCGCTGGGTGGCAGTGTAGTGAGGTGAAGAAGGGTCAGCATCTCAGGACTGAAGGAATGAAATGACTGGGGGCAGCATCAGAGAAGCAGTCAGGGTACTGGAAGGACTGATTTGTTTCCAGATATGTGAACTTTAAAGGAACAATGGGAAAACTAAGTGAGATATCCAGCTACATGTTGCAGTGACGGTGGTGGGGATGGGTCAGAGATACAGCATCATGAATGATTTCCAAAGAGATCATTGTTAAAGCCTGCAGGAGGAAATGGTATTACCCAGAAATAAAGGACACTGCAGGAAATATTTAAATGAGTCTCACCCAAAAGGTGAGACTGTCTTAATGATGAATAAAATGTAAAAACAAAAACAAAACTCAAAACATTATAGCACAGAATACATACAAATAGATTAAAATAATTAAAAGTGAATTTCTAATATGACATAAAGCAAAAGCTATATGTCTTTTTCAAGAAGCTCACTTAAAACCTAGCATATAGAAAAGTTGAAAATAAAGAAGCAAAGTAACTTTCTTTTCCAGGCAAGTATGAACTGAAAGACGTTGATGTAAGTATATTAATATCAAATGAACTGAAATGTAAAGCAGAGGTATTGACAGGAATGATCCAGTTTGCTGAATAATAGAAAATAACTCATTATAAAATATAACTAGTTTAAAAAGTTTATAAGCCTAGAAGCATAACGTCAAGTATATAAAGGAAAAATGACAGAATTTCAAGGAGAGATTCACATAATTTCTTATGGCAGTAGGTTTTAAATTCTTTAAAAATATGACACAAAGGAAAAATGCACTGGGAACAAAGCTTGAGTCTGTTTTTATGGAAGGACAAGGGAAAGCACGAAAGCTGAAGGGTCCGTGGAAGACTGCAGAGTCACGTGTTTCAGGAAGGTGGAAGGTAAAGGTTGAACCCACTACAATGGGAGGCCTGAACAGGGTTACTGCCCAAAATATGTAGTTTCCAGGGCAGGTTCCCACAGGAAGTGTGGAGTGCTGGCATGAGGAGCTTGTGTTGGATAAACTTACAAGAAGCAGGGTACCATTTCCTCTGGTACCAGATAGAAGGAGAACAGCTTGCATCAAGATTACCTCTTATGGAATGGAGGAGAAGAAAGTGGGGACGTTTCAATTTATAGTCTTTGATCTTGTGTTCAGCATGAGAAGAATGAATCTTTTAAGTTCAGTTCATTTCCAGTTTTAATCCTAATTGTATGTGTGTACAGTTTGACAAACTGACCTTAGAGTTTATGGAAGAGCAAAGGATTAAAATAGCTGGCAAACTGGAGGAAATAACAAGGAAGAGTGACTTTCCCTATCATGTGAGGGCTTATTAAACTACACTGATTAGGAAAGTCAGATGTGTGTAAATAGAACCTTGATTTGTGATGGATCTGGTATACATAGTATGAGGGTGGACCATTTGTAACTGGTCCATTTGGTAAATGATTCAGGCCAGATAGTCATGGATGTGATCTTCTACACCATTTAACATGCAAAAAGTCAGTTCTAGATGGGTCACAGGTCTCATGTGAAAGCTTAAGCTAGATTTTTTTTTTGGAAGAAAATAGAGAATGTCTTTGTAATATTTAGATAGGTGTTTATGAAATAAGAGATAAAAAATTCAATGCAAAATGTCTGATACATTTACATTAAACTTGAGAATTTCTGTTTATTAAAGGAAAGGCAAATATTGTGAAGAAATATCCCTAAAGGGGAAGAAGCTAGCTGACACAGGGTTAGCATTGAAAATATGAAACAGGAATAAGGGAAAGTAGGTGTGACTTACAATTTGAAAATATAGAAGAAGAGGCTATCAATGAAGACAAATACAAGACTTTCCCAGCTCTCTAGATGAATTGAAACCACAGTGCTCAGATTGGGAGTGACAGGGAAACACTTGGGCACATGGCAGTGAGGACTACAGATTCCTAAAGGTCCCGCAGCTGGCAGGGAGGACAGGGTGCTGGGCATCATTGGTGCAACCATGGAAAGTGGTAAATGAGAAGTTGCCCTGCTCTGTTGGCTGTCATGACTTATTGGGGGCTCGGAGGGCTGCGTCCAGCCAGGGCTGGTGTGTTGACAGTACTGGTGGAAGACAGCTCTGCAGGAGCTTCGAGGGCAGGCAAGTGCCCCAGGAGTAACAGAGAGAGAAAGCTGACACTGTTCTCTGCAAAGGAAGAGACTATAGTTTCTCCTTACAAGATTAAGGTTAAGGTGTGGCTGGCCACTGGAGCCCTCTTTTCACGTCTTGATCTTCTTTATGGCCAGATAATGCTTGAGGAAGAAGGGAGTACGGGACATTAGGTTCTGATACCTTAAATCTGTGCTCATGTTGATGCACTACTGCAGACAGGTTTTTTTTTTTTTTTTTAAGACACAAAAACTGCTGGAAGCATCTCACAGGTTGGTTTCTAGGGGGCCATGTCTTCTCAAAAGATCAGAGATTTTGAGTAATCAGAGGAGAGGTGAATTTCTTCAAGAACTGCATGAAATGAATAGAAAGTGCAGTGGTATCCCCATATGGTGACATCAAGTGGAGCTGCTTCCCCTACCAGGATGCCACGAGGCCTCTTTCCCCAAGGCCACACTGACTTGAGGTGTACATTCTACAAACTGTGTAAGACATCTTTTGATGTAAGCTAATTGGATGATGGAGGAAGAAAGGTATCTCAGAAGTTCTTAGGGCCAAATCTCTTAGCTGAACTTGGCAAAGGTCATAGTGGTCTCAAAATATGATATTCCATGTAGTTTGGAAGCGTCATCAAAGGACATATACATGCTATGTGAAAGAGGAGGGTCCCATCATGCAAGGCATCCTTGTGTGTGCACCATCGTTACCACCTTGTGACTGGGTGGTATCTTGTAGCAGTCAGCCCTAGCCAAGCTCTGGGTGCATCACCATCCTGACTCTAAGTGAGGTATGTCTTGGTCCCTCCTTACTTCTGTGGAAGAAGAAGAAAACGCTGGCTTCATTCCACTCGATTTGCAGCATACTTAGTACTGTCTGTGCATATAGTCTATCACAAGTGGAAATTATTTTAATTGTAATTATGATGTCAAAAATTTCTAATGTTTCTCTCCTGCTATAGAACAATAACTTACTGCTTGTTCAGAGTGCATTTCCTTGGCTTGAGGCTTCACCTTTCTTATAATAAATAAATTAAATTACAGCACAGTTGACCTTTTAAATAGGACCCATAATTAAGCAACCTGATCAGCGATAAGGAGGAATACAATAGAACAGTTCCAGAAAATACCTGGAGAAGCTCATTCAGCATCATTTGGTTTTATGAGCTTGAGCTTGTGCTTAGACTTGTGTTAGAACTGCCTTTCTAGGAAATGTGTGGGACCGCCAGAATGGATAATTCTTGTAAGTTTACATGGTTAGCTTTGGCTTCAGCATTGGAAAAATACTTAAACTACAGGAGAAAAAATGGTGTGGCTCATGGAAGTTCAAGTTGCAGGCAACTTGGTGGAGGAAGTATGTGAGCTTGGCATATTCGAGCTGGGAGGATCGCCACGTGGGCAGGTCTCCGGGTGACACAGGCTCTCCGGGAGACAGCAGTCATAAGTCTGCAGCCTAAATGCTTACTGGCCAGGGTAAGCACTTGGGTGCTGGATATCCAAGGATTGGCGGTTTCCCCTTCTGCTCTCTGTCATTCCACACCTGGAAGCTGCTGGAAGGGTTCTCACATAGGCTGCGCAGATGCTTTCTGGAGACCTGTCTTGCTTAATACAATCAACACCTTTTAAAATCTCAATAATTTACCAATTAGGTCACTGATTGGGTTCAGAAGACCTTTGGAAATAGTTTCTGCTTGCTGAGGCCTGATGAGAACCTGCTCAGAGCGGGCAGTTCAATACCTTGGCTTCCAAAAGGCAATTTCTGAATACTTTCCCCCGAGATTAAATACCACTGAATTTGAGTCCTACTCCTTGTTTACTAAGCATGTAGAAGTTGAGAGTAATGACTGCACCTTTCTCATCTGGGTAGTTGCAAAGTCACGTGAGTTAAAACATGGAAAGATTTAGCTGCCTGCCTGGTGTATAGTAAGTGCTTATTAAATGTTACCTCTTGTTATTTCTGTTCACTCTAACAGAGGATCCCTGTAATACCACATTTGTAAGGCAGTTCCCTCTGATACAAGAAATGTTTCTGTAGTCACCAAAAGACACTTCAAACACTGTGCACACATTTGTGGGATTTCTTGAGTGTGTCTGTTTTCCGACTGTACAGATTAACATGTTACTTTGGTTGTTCATCACTGAAGACAACTGACATAAAACATGTTAGTGATTCACCATTTGCAAGCAAAGTGAACCCCCACACGTAAGAGAGGATCTACTAAAAGCATTTCCCAGGAGGAAACTGATTTCCCTTGGTCGAGGTCATCAGAAGTATTTAGAAGAACTCCATAAGGAATTGATGCGAAAACTCTGCTTCACACAGCATTAAATCCAAAGCAGAAAAAGATGTGTGTTAGCTCTCTAGGAGTGGAAACTATAGGAGCCAGTGGGGCCTGAGGTTTATGTGCTTGCCCAGAAAAAGAGACTGGTGCATGATTCAAGACAACAGAAGGGAGCATGAAGAGGTCCCTGCAGCCCGGGATCACATACCAATTCCTTCTTCTTCATGCACTCCATCAGGATGATGAACAGGTGCTGGGCTTGGGTTCGGGTGTATGTGAAGGTCTTCTGTATAGTCACCAGTAGCTGGTCCCTCAGAGACTCGTTTATAAGTCTGCAGTGAAAACCAACATCAAACAGGTCAACCCAGCTCTTGTTCAGTACACATCTCTTTCCTCCTTTTTCAGTTTACTTTTGTCAGGTAACTGTACATAATTAAAGGGACACAGTGTGGTGTTTCATTACATTATACATAGTGAAGTAATCAAATCAAGATGTTTATCGTAATACAATGGAGTACTACTCAGCTATAAAGAATGATCACATTGAGATATTTATAAATAAATGGGCGCAGCTTGAGACCATACTCATAAGTGAAATAAATCAAACCCACATTTATAAATACCAAATAGTTTTCCTAGTGTAATAAATGACAACAATACATAAAAGTATGTGGTAATCATGATTCCCCATTATATTGCTTTGAAGCCTTACAATGTTTTCATTCATTAATTGTAATGGTTTTATTTTGAGCTGTTTGATTTTATTGTCTGTGATGGTATGAACAGCTATTTTGGAGAAAACAAGACATCATAATAGCTAGTGCTGATTTAATATCTTGTTTTGAAGCCCCATGAAGCTTTTGTTCTTCTGTCTCCATCGGTCTTAACATGTTGTATCTTACTGTATTTTATTATGTGTGATAGTATAAACCAAAACTTTTATAGACAAGGAGATAATATAGAAACCATTTTTCGTTTTCTGTTAGTTGGTTTTAAATACCCTGTAATACTGTCATTCTCTTGAATGGTTTTACATTGTCTTGATATGTTTGATGCTACAGTATAAGAAGTTATAATCAAATATTTCAAGGAAAGAGACACTATGGTAACTACTGTTATGTCGGGATATCTTGTGGTGAAACACTATGTTGCTTAAATTGTTATGTTCTGACCTGTGCTGTTATGTTTTTATGTCCTCTTTTATCTCAATCTCCTTTTTTACTTTTTATTTTTTTAGTTAAGGAAAAAATAAATAAAAAATAGCAGGATATATTATACTAACCCACTTTGATTTCCTATTAACTTGATTTGAAGCCCTGTATTGCTCTCACCATCTTGCTTTGATTGATTTTACCCTATTCTGTTTTGCTTGATAGTATCAATTTTGAGAGTATAGGCAACAACTTTGAAGACAATAAGATTCACTATGATGCCCATTCTGGTTTGACTATTATCTTCTTTTGAAGTCCTGTAATGTCTCCAATGTTTCAGTTTTATTGGTTATATTCTATACTGTTTTGTTAAATTTTATTATAACTGATGATATAGGCAATTCTTTTTAAGATAGGCAATTCTTTTTAAGATCACCTTGTATTCTGTTTTTACATCATGTACTATGTCCATTCTTTTGATTTGACTGACTCTGTTTTGTTATGTCACATTTGGTTTTATTCTCTTCAAAGAAAAAGTAACAAGAACTTGGGAGTAATAAAACCCAAAAGGTGTAATTGTTATTGTAAAAAAGAGAAGAAAAGAAAGTGCTCTAAAGGATATAACTGCATGTATATTTAAGTATATAAGATAGATAACCATATTACTGAGTTTTAATTGGATCACTGAACAAAGCTGTTTTCAGTCTCACTGTTTGAATGTCCACTTTGTATGCTTTAATTTTGTAACTTGAACAACTATTTCTAAGATGACAATATGTAATCTATTAACTAGTGATTTCCTATTGTTTATTTTTTTGAAATTCTATTACTGGTACCCTTTTTCTGTTTTTTTTTCTTTTTCTCCTTAAATAAAATTTAAAAAAAAGATATTTATCATATCCATTATGTCATACCTTTACCATTTCTTTCTGGTAGTAATGTTCAAAGTGTTGTCTTCTAATATTTTTGAAATATTCAATATAGTATTGTATGCTTTAGCCTCTCCACTGTGCAGTAGAAATATTGTGGAACACAATATTATGGAACATACACTGAAGATTTATTTTAGATAGGAGTTACTTCTTCCAGAGTCTTCTCACAGTAGCTATTTTCAACTGTGATATTTTTAAAAGTAAATTTAAATATCTCAGAATATAACAAAGTAGAAAGATGAATTTCTTTTTTTCCCCTCTTTTTTCTTTCATGTCATGTGTTTAATGCCCTCTTCCTTAAATTATGTTTTCAAACAAAATGCCTTCAATTAATCATTTGGATCTTGGTAAGAATTTACTATATTATTTCCCTGTAAACTGCAATGAATCATTTCTACTTGGTGTCTTACCAATAGATTTTTGAGTGTCAATATGCAAAATAGTTATTTGTTTTTCTGAAATTCCATGTAGGTGGATGCCTCTCTGGTTTATGATTCAGATTATCACTATTTATGTCAAGGTTTTGCTCTAGTACAGTGAACAGAAGTCAAATCGTAACCTTAAGGAGAAATCATACTGGCTTCTTAGCCGTGAACCAATCTGACACTATTTATTCAGTTGACTCAAAAGATGCATGGTGGATGTCTTAGTGCCAGACACTATGGCATGTGCCAAAGATGCAGTGAGAGATGAGACATACACATTCCAAGCTATCAGAGTTGCACGCCAGTGGAGGAGAACGTGTACCAGCAGCTCAGCTATGAGTGTCAGTGGGGAAGAAGTTGAGAAGCTTGCGACTGACAATCTAGAAAGACCCCTCAGAGAAGAGGATGTTTTATCTTAGACTTGAAGAGTGAATAAACATTAGGAGGGTTGGAAGTGGTGGGCTGGGGTAAGAGCAGACAAAATGGGGCAAATAGGCCTGATTTGCAGAAGATAAAAGGTGTTAGGGTTTAGATCTAGAATGTTTTCCCAAATGCTCCTGTGTGGAAGGTGATTGGATTGAGGGATGTGAGCAGTGGGTTGATCCATCCATTGGAGGTGAACAACTTTCCTTTGCTTCCTGCTCCCACCATGAAGAGCTGACCCAGGTGCCGAGGAATGGGGCCAACTGGTCATAGACAGAAACCTCCAAATCTGTGAGCCAGAACAAACCTTTCAAAAATATCCATGACAGCAACGGAAATCTAACATATGCTAAAAATTAAAAACAAAGTGAGGCTGCAAAGAGGGTGAATAGGGGTGAGATGATGGGGGGATTTTGGAGATCATGCTACATATCTGGAGTTAATCACTAAGCCAATGAGAAGATATAGAAGAATTTGAGCCAGAAGGTAATGAAATCACATGTGTGCTGCCAGCTAATTTTCTTGCAAAGCACTGCTGCCTGGGCCCACGTTCTCCTTGGCAGGTAACTCCAGTGGGTGGATTTAGTTTAGAGATTTTTCACAATATCAAGTGTGCGTAAATGTACGTGGTCAACAAGAGACTCCTACTTAGCCATTTGATAGCTCTAATCACTCACATGCTGGTGTTTAATTTTCACATCTCAAAATTTGTATTCCATCGCCAACCATCTGTAATGAAATCCAAATTCCCTGAGGTCATTAATTGTTTCAGGGATCTGTTTGTCACTTCCAATCAGTCTGCCACTTGGTAAAAATCGAGAAATATGGGCAATTTAATTAGTCATGGCTTTCACAGGTCAGCAGATGTTAATGACACTAATAATCCTATACTTTTGAGCCCAGTTTCTCAAGTCATCATGGTGGTGGCTTCGGCTAAATCCTTTAGCAATAAGAAGCATAGAACATGAGAAATAGGTTGGTCATTCCATAGTGTGAGGTGCCTGTGGTTGATGGAACAAAGACAATTTAAGTGGAACAAAGATAATTTCATCTATCCAAAAACACTGTTACACGTTAAACATCAACTGCCATTCCTGTTTTAATTTTTTTTTTTTTTTTTTTTTTTTTACATTCTAAGAGCACAGCAAGAGGAAAATGTCAGTTTTGGTGCTTCTCTGCCTTTAACAACTCTCCACTGTGTGCAGATTTCTCACTTAACAAAGAAATAACAGAGATGAGGCCTTGTACCTTTGGCAGAAAGAGTTTAATAACATCTTTTTCAATACTGTTCCACATCACATGTGACATGGACATGTTCACACATCCATAGCAATTCACACGCTGGACTATGGAAATAATATCATAATGGTCCATGAGGCAAGCAGGTATAAATCCCAGTTTGAAGGAGCGGCAGCCAGTTTAAGGATGGCAAGTGATTTTGCTAAGTCACACAGCTTGGTGACCTCCACGTTTGAGGTGAGTCTGCTAACTTTACCTTTGTACCCTTGTTGCACCTTTTTTTGGTGTTCTAGTGAATCTTTTTGTTTCTTAATCATTTATATTGTAAGTTGAAGTTTAAGCTCATTAATACTTTTCCTACACAGAGAAAACATCTGAAAGAAATAAGTTTAGGGAAGATAAGGGGAAATTGGTAAAAGAGGACAGGGGCAATCAGCCCTTCACAGCAGAGCGAAGCTTCTAGTTGTTTCTAGTTCTTTCTTATTTTTTTGGCAGTCATATTGGGAACCTACTTTCTAGATATTATTGTTTTTTCTAATTCTTCCCACTGTTTTCTTTAAAACATTGGAAGGATTTAAAAAATTTGACCATGATATTTAATCACAAGCAAAATTTGAGTTGAATTCATTTTAGATTTCTTTTTGTGGCACTAGACTAGTGATTGGAAATCTGACATAAGAACATGGTCATAGTATCACATGAAATTTCAGTTGTAGATTTGGGTCCTTGACAAAGCAGTCCTATTTATGGAAACTGTTAATTTGTGGCTCCACATGCACAAATGTTATTTTTGGTATACTTTAAATTAGATGGTTTGGTGATAGCAAGTACAGTAATGTCAGTGAGGAAAATCTCTATGGTGTGGCATTTTTGTCTCCATTTTAATGTCGTATTTATGATCTGGAGCTTTTCAGATGAGTCATGGAGTAATTTAAAATAGGTCAATGTTTATGCAGAACTCAGGATAACCAAGGAAACTCCCCCAGTTTACAATTAGTATTCTATTCAAGTGCTGGTAATACGACCCACACGTAGAAATATTATCCTCCGAATACATTTAATTATCTCCAATATCCTATTTTTGTTCCTAGATTTGAAAATTAGAAATGCATTTAGAATTGAGACTCTCAGAGCTAATCTTACGTTAATTAATGGTTTTTGA